GGAGTCATAAACAAAGCTCCCACAATTCGCAACCAGTTCGTATAATCAATGCTATCCATGGTCGACCCGAGCCTAGTGAAGAGCCAGATGAGCTGCTACGGGTGCGCCTGCGGCAGGCGCAGATGAAGAAAAGGGTCGGCAATGTGACCACTCTACACCAACAGAGCCCGTCAATGCAGATAAAGTTCGACTGGACAGACCTGCAGCGTGTTCAACTGCCTCATGACGACCCGTTGGTAGTCAGTTTGACAGTGGCAGAGTGCTTGGTGCGCAGAGTTCTGATCGATCCTGGGAGCAGTGCGAATGTTATGCCGAGGGACACATTTGACAGGCTCGACATTAAACCAGAGAGGCTCAAGCCCACCGGAAATCCCTTATTAGGGTTCGATGGGAAGAGGGTGGAACCCGTCGGGATGGTGGAAGTAGAAGTTCAAGCTGCAGAGCGAGCTCTTATGGAAACTTTTGTGGTTGTGGAAATTCACCCCTCGTATAATCTCCTGATGGGAAGAGGATGGATTCACAGAGTCCGAGGTGTACCCTCAACTCTGCATCAGGTCATGAGGTGCCTCGGGCCCGATGGAGATAAAGTGATAGACATTCGGGGGGATCAGGTCGCAGCCAAAGAGTGTTATTCCGTCACACTAAAGCATGCAGGGAAGGGAAAGGCGCCCGTCCGGTCGACAAGCCCCAGATAGCAATTACAGGAACCTCCACTCGAGCAGAATAGGGTGGAGGAGTCAGCCGACTTGACCGAGGAGCCCCTTCTGGATGTGCAGATCGATCAGTCCAGGCCAGAACGAACTACCAGAGTGGGTATAAGACTGACCAGAGAAGAGCAGCAAGAGCTAGTGGATTTCTTATCCCACAATGTCGACGTATTTGCATGGAGTCACCTCGACATGCCTGGAATTAGTCCTTCCGTCTCCTGTCATTCCCTGAATGTCAATCCTAATTTCAAACCAGTGAAACAGAAGCAGCGAAGATTTGCTCCAGAACGTAATCAGATCATAACGGAAGAAGTTGATAGGCTGCTTGATGCGGGATTTATCAGAGAGGTGCACTACCCCGAGTGGTTGTCCAACGTCGTTGTGGTGCAGAAGAAAAATGGGAAATGGCGCGTATGCATTGATTTCACCAATTTAAACAAAGCCTGCCCGAAGGACAGTTTCCCGTTGCCTAAGATTGATCAAATGGTGGATGCCACCACGGGGTATGAGCGTTTAACCTTTCTGGACGCATATTCAGGTTATAATCAGATTCCTATGGACCCCGCAGATGAAGAAAAAACTTCTTTTGTCACCGAGCGAGGAACATACTGCTACAAGGTTATGCCTTTTGGATTAAAGAATGCGGGAGCAACTTATCAACGACTTGTCAGCAAAGTTTTTAAGAATCAAATGGGTAAGATTGTCGAAGCCTATATTGATGATATGGTGGTGAAAAGTAGGAAAAAGGATGATCATCTGAAGCATCTGCAAGAGGTATTTGATGTACTAAAGCGATATGGGATGAGGCTCAATCCGACCAAGTGCTCGTTCGGTGTGAGTTCCGGGCAGTTTCTGGGACACGTGGTCAACCGCAGGGGCATCGAAGTTAGCCCCGCTCAAGCAGAGGCTTTGATTAAGAATGCCGAGCCAAAGACGATCAGAGAGGTGCAAGCCCTAACAGGACGAATAGCTGCATTAAGTCGATTTATTTCAAAGTTGTCAGACCACTGCAAACCATTCTTTGACACGATTCGGAGCCATGGAAGGCAGGTCTGGGGGGATGAGCAACGACAGGCATTGACTCATTTGAAGCAATATATGCAGAATCCGCCAGTCCTGTCAGCCCCAGAACCGGAAGAAAAGTTATTTCTATATCTTAGAGTATCTGGTGTCGCGACGAGTGCCGTTCTGATTCGTTGCAAGGAAGGGGTGCAATACCCAGTATTTTATGTAAGCAAAACACTGATGGAGGCGGAAAAAAGATACTCAAAGGCCGAACGGGTGGTACTTGCACTTGTAAATGCAAAAAGAAAGTTAAGGCATTATTTTGAATCCCACCCCATAGCTGTTCTAACAACTTTCCCAATCAGAACGCTCATGCACAAGCCAGAGCTCTCGGGCAGAATGACAAAGTGGGCCATAGAGTTGAGTTCATTTGACATAACGTACGAGCCGAGAACAGCTATTAAAGGGCAAGCGGTGGCCGATTTCCTACTAGAATGTGATGCCGAAGATACGGAAGAGGACCTTAGAAGCGGCTCTTGGAAACTTTTTGTGGATGGCTCCTCTAACCAGACGGGGGCTGGGATTGGGATCAAACTGCAAACCCCAGAGGGTACTTCCTTGAGCCAAGCACTCAGACTTGAGTTCCGAGCCACCAATAATGAAGCGGAATACGAGGCGTTGCTAAATGGATTAAAGTTGGCCAAAGAGCTACAGATCAAAAGTTTGACAGTGTATAGTGACTCGCAGCTGATTGTTCGGCAGGTAAATGGTGAGTACGCAACCAAGGATGACATGATGGGGGCATACCGTTCTGCCGTTCTGCGTAGAGCCAAGGACTTTGCAAAGATTGAATTCATACAGTTGCCGAGGGAACAGAATGCAGATGCAGACCGTTTAGCATGCAATGCTTCAAGTTGCGGTGAAACATTGGCGAGGGTGATTCCAGTGGGAATAGTGACCCAGCCGTCCATTTTCGAAGAACCGATGGTCTCGGACCCTTGGCAAGTCAACGTCATACCGTATGAACCGAGTTGGATTGACCCAATCATTACCTATATTCGAGATGGCGTTTTGCCTATGCAAAGGGATGAAGCTAGGAAACTCAAAAAGAATGCTGCCAAGTACGCCATCGTGCGGAACCAGCTGTACAGAAGGTCCTATTCTGGCCCGTACTTGAAATGTGTCACCCCCGCGGAGTCGCAGCAGGTATTGCGAGCTATTCATGAGGGTGTGTGTGGCAATCATTCTGGGGGAAGATCGTTAGCGCATAAAGCAATGACACAAGGGTATTTTTGGCCAAACATGTCAAGAGATGCGGAGGAGTTCTCTCGAAGGTGCGATAAGTGCCAACGATATGGACCAATGATCCACCAACCACCTGAAGAATTGCACGTAATGGCCTCGCCGTGGCCTTTCGCGCAATGGGGGATGGATGTGGTCGGTCCTCTGCCAACTGCAAGAGCTCAGAACAAGTATGTGTTACTGGCCACGGATTATTTCACTAAATGGGTGGAGGCAGAACCGTATCCTAGCGTGACTCAGACTCAGGTGAGACGATTTATCTGGAACAACATTATCTGCCGCTTCGGTGTTCCCAGAACAATAGTCATGGACAATGGCACAAACCTCGACAGCAGGCAAGTAAGAAAGCAGCTGGAGGAGTATGGAATCAACCAGAAGTTGGCTGCAGTAAGTCATCCTCAGGCTAACGGACAAGCAGAAATCACAAACAGAACCATTTTCGCCTGCATTAAGAAGAAGCTGGAAGATCATAAGGGGAAGTGGTTGGATGAACTCCCGAACGTTCTATGGGCTTACAGAACCACCCCAAGGCGGCCGACTGGGGAGAGCCCGTTCGCGATGGCGTATGGTACCGAAGCAGTTATACCGGTTGAGCATTTAGTCCCCACTATCAGAAGCTTAGCATGGAGTCGAGATCAGAACGACAAGATGTTAAGATTGAACCTCGACATGATAGACGAAAGGAGGGACGCAGCGGCTATAAGGCTAGCATCGTATCAGCAAGTGCTGGCGAATAGTCACAATAAGAGAGTAAAACACAGGGATTTTGCCCCGGGCGATCTGGTTCTGAAAAGAAAGGTGGGGATGGTCAAAAAAATGATGCCACCCTGGGAAGGCCCATACAGAATTGCAGAAGTCATTGGCAAAGGGGCATATACGTTGGAAACCATGGCGGGAAAGTTGGTCAGCAAGCCCTGGAACGCCACGTCTCTGAAGAGGTACTATCAATAGAAGCTAAGTTCTGGTTTTAATTGGATGTTATTTGTTGTCAATCAAATACATATGAATGAGCAAGTTACCGGAATTTACAAAAAAAGAAGAGAAGAATTTTCTTTTCCAATGGTCTACTATAAAAATTTAAAGCCAAGTGGCAAGTGGCATTCTAGCCGAGCGCCAGGCACTTAAGCAAGATAAGTGGCAGCTGGCACTATAAGCCGAACGCCAGACACTTGCTAAAAATTTAAAGCCAAGTGGCAAGTGGCATTCTAGCCGAGCGCCAGGCACTTAAGCAAGATAAGTGGCAGCTGGCACTATAAGCCGAACGCCAGACACTTGCTAAAAATTTAAAGCCAAGTGGCAAGTGGCATTCTAGCCGAGCGCCAGGCACTTAAGCAAGATAAGTGGCAGCTGGCACTATAAGCCGAACGCCAGACACTTGCTAAAAATTTAAAGCCAAGTGGCAAGTGGCATTCTAGCCGAGCGCCAGGCACTTAAGCAAGATAAGTGGCAGCTGGCACTATAAGCCGAATGCCAGACACTCGCTAAAAATTTAAAGCCAAGTGGCAAGTGGCATTCTAGCCGAGCGCCAGGCACTTAAGCAAGATAAGTGGCAGCTGGCACTATAAGCCGAACGCCAGACACTTGCTAAAAATTTAAAGCCAAGTGGCAAGTGGCATTCTAGCCGAGCGCCAGGCACTTAAGCAAGATAAGTGGCAGCTGGCACTATAAGCCGAACGCCAGACACTTGCTAAAAATTTAAAGCCAAGTGGCAAGTGGCATTCTAGCCGAGCGCCAGGCACTTGCCGTACAAACACACAGCAAAGCTAATATAAAAAGAAAAAGAGAGAAAAGATATATATGTACTGAAGATAAGTTGAACAGAGCACAACACATAGAGAAAAAGAGTTCGGCCATTTCATTAATATTGAACATTTAGTTTACAAAAGAGAGGTGTCCATCATTACAAGAAGATATGAACTGGAAGAATTCGAAGGAGCCCTAGCTAGACGCCTCAGTACCAACAGCATCCTGGTCCTGCCGACTCGCCTCCTCGGCCCCATCAGCCGCCTCACCTTCATGAGGTGGGGAATCCAGGTGAATAACTGAGTCGTTCGGCTGGGGTTCAGCGTCAGCAGTGACTACAGAGGGAGCCACGGTTGACGATTGGGGAGCGGTCAGTGGCAGAGCGGTAGGAGGAGCTGTGATGATCCTTGAGGATGCGATGTCCTGGCACTCATCAAATATACGCTCCGCTTCGGTGGGTTCTGGGTCGACATAGACCCCCAGAGGCTCGATCCCCAGATCCTTGTCTACCTCATCCGGAGTGGAGCTGGTCTGTCCCTCATCCGGAACCCGGTCGGCGAAACCTTCCCGGAATCCTTGAGCATACCGAAGAGCACCGACCCTGGAGAACCGAGCATGAAGGGCCAGCATCCCACCACCCACTCTGCTGATAGCGTCGATCAGAGCGGTACGCTCGTCCAGAGCTCTTTTTTCAAAAGCCATCCGAGCAGACTGTTCATCAGCTAGAAGACGTTGGAGTTCTGCCTTCTCTTCTCTGAGTGATTCCTGCTCAGTCTGCCAGACGCTCTTCTCGAGCTGGAGGGCGTCCTTCTCATCCTGAAGGGAATCATTCTCCTTTTTCAGGACATCTCTCTCTTGCTCGGCTTTGTCAAGCCGAACCAGCACCTCGGTATTCTTCATGGCAAGGAGGTCGTTCTCTTTATTAGCCACCTCCAGGCTATCAGAATACTTTCGGGCCCTGGCGTTCCCCATTTCCACCTGCTTCTGCATGGCCATCATCCCGAACAATGTCTGCATAGGTGCACAATAAGAACGGTTAAACCAATAGTCAGAACGGGCGAAGGCAAGACCAAGTAATATAAGAGAATTCATGAGTTAGAAAATAAAAGTCACCTCCATAGCAGATTGGGGAAAGCGACTGAACACGTCCTTCTGGGAAAGGCCCTTTGCCGCCTCAATGTCCTTCGGAGTCCACATGCTCCTGTAGTAGGCCATAGCGGTCTGGCCATCCTTCAGCATGGTCTCGTTCGGTTTCACGAACGTCCCATCCGTTCGAGTGTACCGAGGGGCCCATGGCGGCAAGCTGGGGATAGAAGGGGGGCCTGAAGCAGAAGCAGAGCCACCAGCTGCAGGAGGCCCAGAGTGAGAAGGAGCTCTGATCGCTCGGTGCAAGAGAGTACCCGGCCCAGAGACTCGGGTCCTTCTAATAAGAGGCTCCTCCTCAGGGTCGATTTCACTGTCAGGATGAGGCCTTTTGCCTCGCTCTTTGTCCCGACCGCCCCCCGCAGCAGCAGGAGCTATGGTAGCTGGGGAGGGCGCGTTCTGGTTGGCCGCAAGGGCGCTGGCAGCAGGGTTAGTAGCCACTGCGCTCGGGACAGTGTCAGATATGGTGGCTGAAGAAGAAGCCGACGCTGGAGAGGAGGTCGCCCCAGCAGCAGGAATGACTGGGGGAGTATTTTTCCTCCTGCCAAAAGAGGGAATCTGCAGTCTGCTCATATTGTAGCCGAGTGATGAGAGCGCAAAGAGGTTGTCTGAAGTGAGGAGATCTGAGCAGGAAGGAATATCGTTCAGAACGTATCTCTTCAAGTAGTTAATCCTATCCCTGCAAACACTGTAGCTTAAGTCATCACAAGGTATTCCCAAGGAGCGGCATAAGTAAGTGCAAAAACGAGGAACGCATGTTTCACAGGGGCAGTCGTGTTTATGGGATTTGAATTTTTTATAGGAGGAGACAGAGCAGACACCAAAGGCGCTCGGGATTGGGTAATCCTCTGCAGCCGGCGAAGACCAAGCCCCACTAATACCCACTATGCTATCCCTCCAACCCTTTTCAGATTTTATTGTGTCAGTGCATATGGACATCTTCTCGAACGGGTAGAGGTGGTAGAAGGGCTCGTTAGTACGGATCTTACTGACCTTATAGCACAGAAGGAGGTCTATGAGGTCAAGGTCCAGATTTCTGTCACGCATCAATAAGAGCATAACAGATATGATCCTAAAGAAGTTGGGGTTGACCTGCAGAGGGGATATCCCCAATCTGTTGAAGACGTAACTAAAGAAAGGGTGCAGAGGGAACCTAACAACATTCAGTTGAAGGTTTGTGAATAAGACTTCGCCGGGCAGGAGGCCGGCGCCGGTCGTAATATTAACGTCTTGGGGGCAAACCCTAACTACGATGTTGTCAGGAAGTCTAAGTCTCATACGAAGAACACCCAGATCTACAACCATGGTGGAAGTGCAAGAAGAATCTAAAAGAGGGAAAGTGGAAGCCTGCCGAAAGTAAAAAGAACGAAACTAACCTCGGAGGACTGCAAGATCGCTGGGAGAATGACTCTCGAAGGATTTCACCGGAAAAGGCTTAGCACAGTTCTAAAAAGAGGGAGATTTGGCTGATGATGGAGACGGTAAAGGGAAGTGAAGTGGAATTCTAGAGCATTATATAGGCAAGGGGGCCCGAGGGCCGAAGCGTCGGGAAGGCAAGAAATCCCTCGAACCCCGGAACATTGATTCTGGATCTGACCGTTTGCTCCCCCACGTGGTTATCTCGAGCCGTCAGCGTCATGATGAGACGCCATCAATAATTACCCCTTATTAAATAAGGGGCAATTATGGGGGCAGTTGAGGAGGCCCTGGATGACATGGGCCAGGTCCGACTCGCAAAACACAACCTTCAGTCCGAACAGCTGGGTCAGCCCATAGAAAGACACTGCCATATGGGCCGAGCGGGAGTAAGCCCATCAAGAGTGACCAGGGCTTACTGAGGAATAGGCCCAGGTCCAGCAATTAATAAATATCTTGTAAATATCTTGTAAATATCTGGTAAGTATCTATAAATAGGAGTTGGAATGAAGAGGAGGGGGATCTTGATTCGGGTTGAGGTGTAAGAATTCTAGAGAGAGAAAGAATAGAAGGAGTTTCTTGCATCTTCAATGGGGATCTTGATTCGGGTTGAGGTGTAAGAATTCTAGAGAGAGAAAGAATAGAAGGAGTTTCTTGCATCTTCAATTAACATAAATAATATTAATTAAGTCAATACATCATTGAATCTTTATATTAATTAAACAATAAAAATGAGTATATAAAAAAAAAAGAATAAAATATATAATAACAAGTTAGAAAGAAATTTTAAGTAGAAGTTTATCAAATATAATGACTTTTAGTTTAATTCAATTAAAACGTTGAACAAAATATATGGAATGAAAAAAAAAGAAAGTAAATTGCATTAAGATAACATTCTAAATAATTATATTTATATGGAATCTTTTTATTAAATTTTTTTAAATGAAGAATCATTTTTATTGAACATTATCTATGCGGTGTTGAACAACCATCTCAATTAACTAGTGATCCACGCGTCTCAATCAACTAAGAAAATTACTGTGTGTGACGTTATATGATGTAAGAAGAATTCAGAATTCTCGTAAATTGTAACGACTCTTTAATTTGCATAACCTATCATAAGAGATAAATACAATAATTAATTTGCAGGAGACGGTGCAATAGAAGGGAATGTTTAGAAATTATTTGGCACAAAAAAATTAGGGCACACAAAACACTATAATTTGTTTGTAAAAGATGATCGGTTAAGAATGAATTTTGTGCCACAAAAATCAGAGGTAACGTTTGGACACAGAAAATTATCGCCGTGTGGTAGAAGAGGGTCGAATGAGAAGAATACGTAGCCACAAAGAATTTGCTATATGGTAGCACAAAATATTGTAAACTTGTTATAGGGGCTAAAAATATATATATAATTTGTTCTGTAGGATACAAAATAAACTGTAATTGTTTACCAGACCTAAATAAATTGCATGGTGGAAATTGTCATAATGGTCAGATGTGCATGATGATAGAGTTAAAATAATATATTTTAACATCCTAATAGTGAATCATTTAAAAATAAAATTATTATATATATATATATATATATATATATATATATATATATTTGAAATAAAATTTAAATTTTCAAATTTGTAACAGGACTATTTGAGAAAAATTACAGAAGAAAATAATATTAATGATATCAATCCTTTGTTCAAGAGATATATACCAGAGCGATATATGTAGTACAGCAAGTCAAACAATTCCACATAAAAAAGAAAATCAAATCTTCTACAATCCATCAGTATTTTAAAATAATACAGATTTCTTAAACTAGTGTATTTTACCCACTAGAGTATTCTAAAAAGATATTGAATGTACAATACTATCAATCACACCCAACATGCAACGAAAGACCTTTAAAATGGCTACTCGCTGTTTTTTAAGTGTAAATGTAAAAATAAGGTCATAATTGTATTCCATTGGATAAATGCAATTTATTATAAAAACAGAATTAAAATTTAAAAGAATAAAGTGGATTTATCAAACCTCACCCGTAAAAATTACTATTAAATACAAAGACAAATATTAAAATAGAAAAATTACACTTAAGTAAACTTAAGAATGTTAAATAACAAATCAGTCTATTTTAAAACTTGATTTTTCAATTAATTAAATAAAATAATTACATATACATTGAAAATTATTGTTTAAGTTCAAAAGACCCTCCAAACTCTTATTTCAAAATATCAAAATATCCTTCCTAAATTAATAGTTCTTTCGTTCAAGAAATTTAAAAAATAAGATTTTCAAGTTGACTTTCAACTGAAGGGCATTTTGCATGTGATGTATACATTATCAAAATAAAATAAATAGCATATATATTTATATAAATAAAAAAAAAAAAAATTGTGCACTTAACTTTAACCATATCTCCCAATCTATCGGGTCAAACTTACAAATGTCAATTTAAAAATATACAAATAATTTAGTAAATATTCATTATATATATAGAATATTTTTTTCCGGTAAGTGAAAATTCATTTTGTAAATATATTTTTGAACAATGGACACCAACAACCAATTTTTAGTCACTGAGTCTAGGTTGCATGGTTCAATTATTGGTAAGGTGCGCCAGTGGTGGTCTTTTGGCTCAAGTGTTTTACTCCATTAAAACTTTTTAAATGTACTACAAAAAGTTTTAAATCGTTTCCATTTTTTTTTTTCTCTTTTCAATGCATTTTTCTTCTTCTTTTATCTGGGTAAATCACTCACAGCCTCATTCACATTGGTAACGTGGATCCTAGGTTAGAATCATGTTGTACATTTTTTTTCTACCTTATTTGTTTAACCCTGCGAAAATGACCTAGCGGATGAGAAGTTCGGTCTTAGTGCCCTCATGTCCTTTTGTTTTTTAAAATTTTATTCTACCTTCATCTCATATTAAATGAACTACTTTGGAAACTTTGACTCACAATCCTTTTGTTTTTTAAAATTTTATTCTACCTTCATCTCATATTAAATGAACTCCTCGAAAATTTTGACTCACAATTTTTGTGAGTCAAAGTTTCCAAAGTAGGCATCTAATATGGTACATATATAGTATATAAGTATATCAAATAAATATGATTAAAAATGACCTCAAATGACTTAAAATAAAAGGTGGTAATGAGTCAAAATTTTTGAAGTGAAGACTAAAGAACTAATATGGGACACAAGGAGTACTATTTTTTTTTAATTAATCCACAGTATATTTTAGATTGCGTCGAATTCTATTTTTCTAAAAGAAAAACAAATAATTACAAAATCACCAGCCTATTCTGAAAGTGACCAAAATGTATCCACTAAAATATTTACTATCTCTATTCCAATAAGGCCAGCTCAATACATATTAAGGCCTAAGAGGAGAAACTTTAATATATATATATATATGTATATATAATTTATTTTGGTACATTAACATAAATAATATTAATTAAGTCAATACATTATTGAATCTTTATATTAATTAAACAATAAAATAGAGTAAAAATAAATAAAGAATAAAATATATAATAACAAGTTAGAAGAAATTTTAAGTAGAAGTTTATCAAATATAATGACTTTTAGGCTCTGTTTGTTTGGATGTAAAATATCTTTTAGAAAATATCTTTTTATTTTTTGCGGTTTTTTTGTCGTAAAATATTTACGAAGAAATAAAATATTAAAATTTGACTAAAATAACTTACTCATTAATTTTCAGCAAGTTATTTTATACGCTGAGCCCGATAGACTCTATCTCAACCTCGACCTAAGTCTTTGTAAAACACCAAAATATAAAAATAAAAGAAAATATTTTACCTAAAAAAGAAAAATATTTAAGAAAAATATTTTTCTAGGAAAATATTTTACATCGAAACAAACAAAGCCTTAGTTTAATTCAATTAAAACATTAGACAAAATATTTGGTTAGATGGAATCAACTAGAAAAGAAAAGAAAAAGAAAATTTTTAAATTTTTTTAGAGTTTGGATGAATGGAAAAAGAATTGTAATAGAAAATATTGTTTTCCGCATTAGATTAGTTTTTCCCAAAAAAATCTCACATAAAACACGAGGAAATAATATTTTCTCGTGAAAACTGCTTCTTTTTATTTGAAGTTCTTATTTTATCCAACAACTGAATCAGGTAAAA